GCTCCCATTGCTTGGACCAGGACTCTCAACTCAGTAAGACTGCACACATCTGAGACCACTTGTGATTCTCTCTGGATAAGGTGCCACCTGCTCAGGGCTGGGGGGTAAGTTCATGCTGAACTGAGTCCCTATATTTTGTTGAAGCTTCAGTGTTGAGTTAATTTTGTTTCCCCTGGAAGAAGAGCTCCTGGAATTTTTTTTTTTTTTTTGATTGTCTGATCACATTAGTATTCTTTGATGAAATTGTTTTCAGTCTTCTATTCTCTGCTTGTTAGCTTGCTTGATATTTCGTGTTGTCCGAAGAGGCAAGGTCCATAGGGAGAGAGTGGACAGAAGTCTGACTAGTCTGTTTTTGAGCTAATCTCCCAAGGACTGAGGCATTCAGGGCTCTTCAGACCAGCGACCCTAGGGCAAATTTGGCTTTGGGTCGCCATTTCTCAATCAAAGAAAGAGTTTGTGTCCCTGAGGACTGGTCCATTTAGTTGTCTGTCTGGACCTATGATTGGGGATGACCAGCCCCTGGCCAAGTTATGGGGATCAGAAATTACCCATTTTTATAAACCAGATGATTTTTCCTAGCCGTCACAATCTCAAACTGCACCTCTTCCAGGCCAACCACTTGCTTCCTTCACGTGTTCTCATTTTCACAGGAATTTGTACACCTCTCTCCCTAATAAACAATTTCACCAGGGGTGTTTTAGAGTTGCAGTTGCTACATGGGCTTTCAACACGAACAAGATAGTTCATTGAGAAGTACTTTAAAAGAGAAAGCAAATAAACCCTCATAAGCAGACTGGTTGGTCTGATTTGTCTTTAAAAAAATAGATAACTGAATACAGGGCTTATCCCTCCTTCACTTCCATAAATTAGAGTCAAGGAGTATTGGCTTTTTAACTTCATGGCTTGATAAAATTATCAAGGACCCATGTTACTATCCAAAAGTGCTGCCATTCTCTTTTCTGTATGTGTATGTTAAAATATGTTTTCAACACCTAAACTTTCTTTCCTCTCCTTATAGAGAAAACAAAATAAAGCTTTACAGTGGTGATTTCATATCTGCCTAAAGCCAGCTGGCTCCCTTTCTTCTTTTTTTTTTTGGCTTTTTTGTTTGTTTTTTTTCTGTTCCTCTTAGGTCCACTTCCCTCCCTTAGGAAACTAAACATTAGCTAATTAAAAAAAAAATTTGATTTGTTTGGGTCAAATTTCTCTTGTTTTAAACATTTGAAAATACCTACATTATACTAACTCAAAAAGATACATGCACCCCTATGTTCATTGCAGTATTATTTCCAATAGCTGAGATGTGAAAAAAATTTAAGTGTCCATCAATAGATGAATGAATAAAGAAAATGTGGTACACACACACACACACACACAACTATTATTCAGTCCTAAAAAAGAATGACATCTTACCATTTTTGACAACATGGGTGGACCTAGAGGGTACTATGATAAGTCATATGTCAGAGAAAGACAAATACTGTATGATCTCATGTATATATGGAACTAAAAAAAAACACACCAAGTTCCTAGATACAGACCACAGATTGGTGGTAGGCAGAGCTAGGGGTTGCATTGGGAGGGTTGGGCAAAATGGGTAAAGAGAGTCAAAGGTACAGACTTCTAGTTATAAAATAATGAAGTCATGGGGATGTAATGTACAGTGTGGTGATTATCGTTAATAATACTGTATTGCATATTTGAAAGTGCTAAGAGAGTAAATCTCGAAAGTTCTCATCACAAGAAAAAAAATGGAACTATGAATGGTGATAGATGTTAACTAGACTTACCATGGTGATCATTTTGAAAAATACACAAATATTGAATCATTATGTTATATACCTGAAAATGTTATTTGTCAATTATACCTCAATAAAAATCACTATAACTTTCTACAGATAATACTTATAAGCAATATACCTTTCCTTAAGAAAATTAATTAATTAATTAATTAACTACATTGGTTTTCTGAGTTAAGTCACCACTGTTTTTATAACTTCTTTAAAATTAAAACTTACTTAAAATTAAAACTTCAATTAAAATTAAAACATGTAAAAAAACTATTCAACTGAATGGAATGATAATAAAGGACATATTTTTAAAGGGCTCTTTACCAACATTGTTCTCAGCTTTTTTAAAAAAAATGCTCTTGTTGTCACCATATAGACCCCAAGCTTCTGCATGTGCCACATGAAAATGCAAAGGGTAAAAAAGCATATCCATTCCAACTCCATTAGTAAGCTGAGCCAGCCTGTCAGCGTTTCCTGGATAGGAGAACGTAATAACGTTCAAAGAACATTTTCTAATTATACGGCAAAATACAAGCAAATTAGGGGGTGTCCAGGAGTGCAGGGATCCAAACCATGAGAAATCTCCATCCTTTGACAGAGTCTCTCTCCTTGGGCCACGTCCTCCCTCCATGTCCTCAGTGGCTCCCATTCCTCTGTCAGTCCATCAGATCTCATGGATCCCCACATCCCCTGTTCAGCTGGGCTGTTTTCTATACATCCACTTACACATCTATACATATATTCTGTGTATGTATATTCCCTCTGGATGCCGACTTTTAGTTATGACTCCCCAACGGCCTTATCCCCTAGAGTCTCTCACATCCAACTGCAGCCACTGTCCTTTGACTCCTGTGCCTTGGTGCATGCTGCCTCTCTGTCCAGAACACTCTAGCATGTTAGGCTAACTCGCACAACTAGACCTATCTCAGGTGCCATTCCCCACCAGGCTGAGTGATACAGGTGCTTCCATTCCCTATTACTGTAACACCCTGGGCATCTCCCTTTCTTTACATGTAGCCTGCTACACTGTAATCACCTTTTTGTTATAACCATTTTTCTGAACAGCTGGGTATCAATCATAGGTTTCACACATAATATATACTCAATAAATTGTTGAATCAAAAGGTTCCGTGTATGGGTGTATGTCAGCCATTAATTCCAAACTAGGTCATCTTTAGGGAGGGGGGAAATGCAAATTAAGGTTTTAACCTGAACGGTTAACAAGCTTTAACCATTTATTACTCTCTTTCCTGTTACAGATTGGTTGTGGATGTCCTGTAATTAGTAAAACAGCCATTAAACTTGTTTTTATGGTTTGCTATCAGAAAAGTCACAGGACTGCTAGAATGCCATGTTCTTCTATCTTAGTAGGTCCCAGAATTGTTGCAACCCACTCTAAATCCAGTTGCACATAAAAATAATTACTATTCGCTGAACATGTTTCTACATGGGGAACTCTAGTGCCCTCGTTCACATTAACTCAATGAATCCTCTGCAAAATCCACTGATGTAAACTCTACTATTATGCCCACTTAATAAATAAAACTGAGGTTTAAGGAAATTGAGTAACATTTCCAAAATCATCTAACTAGTAAGGAGCAGAGTGGCTTTGAGCTTGAGTGTTGTTCCAGAGAGCTGGAGTCCTTAGACACCATGGGATATGACATTCCAGGGGCATTCGTGAAGAGTTTGCATATCGTAGGCCAGGCATCACCAATTATAGGGCCAGACTAAACCTTTCGGTTCCAGGCAGACAAAACTAAACAGACCAGTTCTCAGAGACACGAAGACGAGACTGGCCCCACAGGAAAAACAAAGCACAAATCCTGCCCAAGTCACAGCCTGCCACACGAATGGCTTATCTTGGCAGGAAAGAGTATGTGTGTCTATAAATACAACTATGGGTTATAAACGTATTAAAAAAAAATCAGAATTCAGGTCCCACCCAGTTCTGTCCTAACTCTTCTTTGTGGTCTTGTGCTTGAAGAAATATTGTCCTTTTAAATTAACAATCATATCTTGGCAAGAACTATTTGTTCAAGGATCACAGGCTGAATTGATTTTGCAGGAGGTATGCATCTTTAACTGCCAATAAATTATTCAGGTTTTTAAAAAAACCCTCAAAAACAGAAATGGTGAAAGACCGGTGGAAACTTGTGGCAGGGGGAGGATTTGAGAGGAAACAGAATCCCTGGGGCAGTGGAGGTGGTGTGGGTAAGGGGGCAGTCATTGTACTTTCTATCATGTCTGTCTTGCTCCTCGGGTAACAGGCTTAGACAGACAACTCTGAATCTTCAGAGAGAAAGGAAAAATGCCTTTTTCTTATAAATGTCTTAGTGATCCTTGTTCTTATTTTGTTACTATTTTAGTAATAATCTTTCAGGTGCCTCAAATCTTTTAGGAAACTAAGACTTAAATGTCAAAACTAGCATTGGATATCTACATATTATATATATACACACATTTTTTTCTCCACTGTGCACCATGTCCCCAGAGTGATAATACGGAGAACTGTCTTAATGATTGAGCATTAAAAACAAAACAAGGGACGCCTGGGTGGCTCAGTCGGTTAAGCGTCTGCCTTCGGCTCAGGTCATGATCCCAGGGTCCTGGGATTGAGTCCCCGCATGGGGCTCCCTGCTCCACGGAGAGCCTGCTTCTCCCTCTGCCTCTGTCTCTCTCTCTGTCTCTCGTGAATAAATAAATTAAATAATCTTTAAAAATAAAAATAAAAAATAAAAACAAAACAAAATCCTATTAATTACAGTGACCTATACCTTAACCTATAAGAGTAAGCCCATATCTTGTAGGAAATGGAGCTTCTTTTAATTTATTCAGCACCTAATATATGCCTAATGTGTATATAAATGAACAGTCTCAGTCCTCAAAATTGGCACTAGGACTGTTTAACATATGAAGAAGCCTTCCGTATGGAAGGTGGGAGTGCAGTAAAGAGCTGTGGACATCTTGGCACCTGCTGCCCATGGTAGCCTTGGGGTCTATTCTCCTCAGGAATTTGGGGGCAATAATCTGCCTCCTAACAGAGGTACTACGTGTAGCCTGATCTTTGTACACCTCAAAAAGATGACCACGTGGGAGAAGTAATCCCAGCATTCACTGCATAAGCAGCAGGGAGACACAAGTTTGATGGAAGCTGAAGGTGAATCCTTTTTCCGATATTAACTTATTTGTTCATTGTTCTGTCATCAGGTACCAAGAAAAAGAAGTGAGCTCCAAGAGAGTGGAAATCTAGTTGGCCTTATTCACAGCTGTACTCCCATCATCTGGTATTGAGCATGGCATACTGAAGAGCTCAATAAATACTGGGGAAGAAATAAAGAAAGTCCGCGTGGGAAAATGGGCCACCCATTACTAAGGATGAAGAAATACCATAATGTTTTTTCAGGAAGACTTCAACTCTGACTCATAGGAAAGATGACACCAAAGATGTGAAATCTGAACTGGGATCTGTGCTGTGGGCCCTGTGGGCCAGGATGAAGCTTGTAGAAAAGGGTGAAATGGAAGGGTCAATTAAGGACAGAATAAGATGGCTATTTAACTTTTATTTTTTTTTATTTTTTATTTTTTTTTAAGATTTTATTTATTTGAGAGAGAGAGAATGAGAGAGAGCAAGCACATGAGAGGGGGGAGGGTCAGAGGGAGAAGCAGACTCCCTGCCGAGCAGGGAGCCCGATGTGGGACTCGATCCAGGGACTCCAGGATCATGACCTGAGCCGAAGGCAGTCGCTTAACCAACTGAGCCACCCAGGCGCCCAAGATGGCTATTTAACTTTTAAATGTGGATTCCGGATCTGAAATGTGTAACTTCCGGCACTTAAGTAATTTATCCTTACATTTTCTCACATTTCATGTTTATGAAAGCAGTGCTGTACAATCAAGCAATGCTACCCCCACAGGACTGTTGGAATGAGGTCATTACTCCAGGCTAACGCGGGAATGAACATGAGACTTCAAGCAGATTATTTGTTGTTAGGAAGCAAAATCAAACTGATTACATTTCCAAAGGAGTATAATATGATGGCGACAAGACCATCATGAAAAAATCTCTTAAAAGCTCCTAAGCATAAGTAATGTATGACTAAAGACACTGCACTGTTATGCAACATGAGTGTCGGGGGGAACAAATTTACTTATGACTCATGCTTCTATATTACACATATTACTGGATGTTCCCTTCATTTTAAAGAAATGGGAACATAAATGTGTATATAGAAATATCTGATATCCAAAACATGAAAACACAACAGCTATTAGGCTACGAAAAATCTGGTGGGCACTGTGTCATCAGAACACTCTTCCAAGACGGAAAGTTACTCCCATACTTTTTGAAAAGTATGGCCAGAGAGCCACCTTCCTGCGCGACACCAGCTAGCCCCCACTGCGTCTTCAGAACTGGGTCCCCATGAACAGCCCAGACAAGACAGGAGTGAAGGCCCTGAGAATGACAGGTAAAAATAATCCCCCTGATGCCCCCGCACCCTAGTCTGCTTCTCTTTTGCATTAAGGCGAGTAGGGAGAGATCCCAATTCTGCCCACCTCCAGCCAGTGGGTCCTTCATGGTCTCCCTCGACCGCCCACAAAACACCTCGAGGGTACAGACCAAAGTAGTCCACAAAACGGCAGAAACCAACCCCCCAGTACCTGCTCCAGAGGTCTCCTGGCTGCCCCCCGGGTCATCCGGAAGGTCCCCGAGACTACATAGCTCTCTCGACCACACGATTTTCACCGACTTTATTGGCCCTGGACTCGGCGGGCCCCTCGCCACCCACCTCCCCACTAGATCGCGGCAGACTTCCATGACATCGAGTATATTGAAAAATACTGCGGGGTGGCTATGGAAAGAGCCTTTGCTGGGGAAGCCAGCTCCCCTGTGGTGGCGTCAGGGTCACTTGCTCTTCGCCTTCTGACTCTCCGTCTTCTTGGGCAACAGCACGGCCTGGATGTTGGGCAGGACGCCGCCCTGAGCAATGGTGACTTTCCCCAGCAGCTTGTTTAGCTCCTCGTCGTTGCGGATGGCGAGTTGCAGGTGGCGAGGGATTATCCTGGTCTTCTTGTTGTCACGAGCCGCGTTGCCAGCCAACTCCAGGATCTCTGCCGTCAGGTACTCCAACACCGCAGCCAGGTACACCGGCGCCCCAGCGCCTACTCGCTCCGCGTAGTTACCTTTGCGCAGCAGTCTGTGGACTCGGCCCACCGGGAACTGCAGGCCCGCGCGGGAAGACCGAGACTTGGCCTTGGCCCGCACTTTGCCGCCCTGCTTTCCGCGACCAGACATGTTTACCTCTCGCCTAAAACTCCTGCGAGAGGAAAAACACAGAGACACGGTTCTCAGTAGGTGAATGTAATTTACCAACACCGGAACTGCCTCTATCACTTTGCTGACACTAGGCAGCGCCTTCCCATTGGGCGCAGCAACATCTTCGGCTCTATTGACCAATGACAGGCAGGCTCCGCTCCCAACCAGAGCTCCTGGCAGAGGGACCGCCTTCTCCAGCTCTATCCAGTCAAAAGAGCAAACTCCTAGCCCTCATTTACATAGCCTCTCATATGAATACCCAGGACTGGACCGTTCCGCATTTGGGGCCTCCGTTGAATTTTTTGGCCCCTGAGATTTCAACGTCCAAGTTCGCTCCTGGGACAAGAACGTCTTAAGAATTAAGGAACCACGGTTAGAAACTGAAAAATCCGGAAGAGCTACCCGTACAAGTACAAAAACACTCAAGCAAGAAACGCCTCAAGTAATTGAGGTCGCAAGATGAGCCCTCCGGTGCTGCGTCCCACGGTGCTGTGCCCCCTAGGTGGATTTTCTCACGTTATATAGCATCCTTAGCCCCTTTAGCTGACTCCAGCCCCTTTGCGCTTGTGGGCAACAGTACCCCTCTAACTGCCGTTTCTTTAAACAAGCGCCTTGTCTCCTGCAAACCCAGATGCGCCTGCTGCTACCCAGCAGTGTGGGGAGCTGGCTCCAAAAGATGCCTCGCACTGAACTGGCCATCTGAACTTTCTTAACCAGACCAGGTGACACTGGACTCCCCGAGCAGTTCTGCCGTTCACAGGTTGCCAATCTTAGCTTCTAGGGACTGCGAAACTAGTGCTACACTAGACGTGAATGCTTTCTTCACAGACTGCAGAACAAGCTCGCTTAGCCAAAACTTAACATCTCCTGTCTTTTGAGATTATGAGCCTGAAAAGAGTCTCTGGATTCCAGGGAGAGGCTGCAAGATCAGTCTCTGAGGCACGGAGTCTTGGTCTTGGCTTACTCCTTAGTGGTCACCGCGCTGCCGATCATGTTCTCCATGGCGACTCTGAGCCCGGAGGTAAATAAGGTCGCGTAAGACATTGTGATGGCACTTGGCTGTCCCTTTTTCCAGCCCTCTACTGCCCATGCGATGCTCAGAGGTCATGAAAAGACTAAAGAAGAACGGAAGCAACTGTCCTTACCCAAATTGCAGAGCCATAGCATTTGGAACAAAGTAAGTTTTTTTTATTAGAAATTATTTTTTACTAATTCATTGATGTAATTTCAGTTACCTCAACATTTCCCATAATTATACAATTACTCTGCTATGTGTTGTAAACACATTAAAATAAGCGACATTTTATGGAGATTATAGTAACCATTTTAAAAGTAAAATTTACCATCCCACCATCCTAATAAAGATTTGATTTCTGAAATCATTTTCAGCGATTTCTGTACATGTCCTTATTGCCTAGAACACTGATTAACCTATATATAGTAGGAACTCAATAAATGTCTTTGGAGTTGAGAAGCAGCATATTGTCATGATTAAGTCAGTCATCCTGGAGCCAGACTGCCTTGGTTCAAATCCTGTCTCTACCACTTACCGGTTGACTTGGGTAAGCTCTGCGCCTATCCCAAAGTGTTATTTTGAAGATTAAATACATTAGTAAGCATCCAATAACTGCTAGATGAGTTAAATAAATGGACTTACAAGTTTCTGATGCAGTTATTAACATGTTCCTGATATGAATTTTGCAAATTTTGCTTAACTTTTTGCCTATATCAAGGGAAATTTTTGACAATTATTGTTATTATTTTGAACACTTTTTCCTTTTATTCTTGTAAGCAAGAATGATTTCTAACTTGAAAAATTTGTTCTAACCTCGATTTTTTAGTCTTAGTAAATATAATCAAAATATACCATTATAAGAATCCTGATCTCTTCCAGATCTGATAGACTTTCTTCTTCCCTGTGAGTCAAAGATGAAAATCATGTAGTACAATATGACTATTCAGGATTTTTTGCAGCCATACAAACAGTATTCTGAGGGATCTTTTATTTTAAGAGTCACTTATTTTAGAGAGAGAGTGGAGGAGCAGGGAGGGGGGTGGAGAGGGACAAGTGAGTGGAGGAGCAGGGAGGGAGGTGGAGAGGGACAAACGGACTCCCGGCTGGGGTGGTGGGGGGCACGCTGGGTCTCAATCTTATGACCCTGAGATCATGACCTACCTGAAATCAAGAGTGCCCCTTAACCCTTAACCCTTCTGAGCGACACAGGCGCCCCTCTGAGGGCTCTTTTAATTTATCTTTAACAATAAAAAGTACTGGGCGCCTGGGTGGCTCAGTTGGTTAAGCGACTGCCTTCGGCTCAGGTCATGATCCCGGAGTCCTGGGATCGAGTCCCGCATCAGGCTCCCTGCTCAACGAGGAGCCTGCTTCTCCCTCTGACCCTCCCCCCTCTCATGTACTCGCTCTCTCAAGTAAATAAATCTTTAAAATAAAAAAAAAAGTACTTTCTGTGTTATGCAGATGGGTAAGGATGGGTAAGTTATAAGCATTCAGACACACATACAAATATTTACTACAAAGCTTTTCCTGGAAAAGCTTATCTTTCAAGACTTGGGACAGGGAGCACAATTTACTAAAATATTCCTTCCTCCAGATGTTAAATGCTTGACAAAGAGTTATGAATCATCCTCTAAATACCGCTACCTTTTATTGCAGTAAACCCTTTTGGGAAGACAAGAGTCCTGTATCCTAGAGCGGTGACGTTATTGAAAGTTTCATATTTGTTCAGGGATTCTCTTAAGAAAGGATTGAGAGCCTCCTGATGGGCGATCTGCAGTAGAAATCACTCTTTAAAGCTACCGTCGTGGCATCATTATTTTTAAGAACTTTGAATTTGTAAGTGGGAGATGTGAGAACCTCGGGTTTGTTAATGGACGCATTCCTTTTGAAAAATAATTGGAATTCGCGCGCGAGAGATGGGAGTCGGGGAGAGATGGGAAGGAGGGAGGGGAGGGAGGAAACGAGCGCCAAAAGGATCTGGTCTATTTTTATTTAAGCGTTGAGAAAAAGCAATATAAATTCCATTGACTCTTTCCTCAGTTTTATGGCAAAAATAAAAGTTTTCCCAAGAAATCAAACAACAAATACCAGTCTTGTTCTGCTTACGGCTCCTTCACTCATTATTAGAGGAAAGACAAAAATCACCTGGGGCCTAGAGCTCCGCCCACTTTCTTGAGGTTTTCAAACAGGTCCGCTACTAGGAAATATAAGCCCTGGTCTACGCTTCCACGACCATTAGCTGCTTGCTCTCTGGGTCGGAAGGATGTCTGGTCGCGGGAAAGGCGGTAAAGGGCTGGGGAAGGGAGGCGCCAAGCGCCACCGGAAGGTCCTCCGGGACAACATCCAGGGCATTACAAAGCCCGCCATCCGTCGGCTCGCCCGCCGAGGTGGTGTCAAGCGCATTTCTGGGCTCATCTATGAGGAGACCCGGGGAGTGCTGAAAGTCTTTCTGGAGAACGTGATCCGCGATGCGGTGACTTACACGGAGCACGCCAAGCGCAAGACGGTCACCGCCATGGACGTGGTGTACGCGCTGAAACGCCAGGGCCGCACCTTGTATGGCTTCGGCGGCTGAGCAGTCTCTGCGGCTTCTCTTCAAATCCCTAAAAGGCCCTTTTAAGGGCCCTCAGAACGTCAGGAAAAGAGCCAACACTTTCTATTTACTGTGTGAATGTGGGACCTAGGTGTGTCAGATGAAGCCCTGCCTTGTGCCGTGGAAGTTCCTACCCTGGCGGGTGGCTCCGGACTGCAGACGGCGGACTTGGGGCTTAGGAGGGGGAGGTATGGCCCGTAGGGCTCGCAATGGGGATCCAGCGCCGCTCCCCTGGGACGTAGTCTGGAGAGCGCGGTGCCAGGTAGGGACCTCGCTATAATGTGCACATGCAGACTGGGATCCTGTCTAGAATTTGGGTCCCACTTGGGGTAAGGAGGTATCCACGAATAAGTAGCGCATGGTTTTTAAGCAGCGGAGGTCTCTGTCCCTGAGCCTATATAGAGAAGCTTCTATGCAAATTAGGGTTAGCTGATGCTGCCTCCGATTGGATCGGAGGGTCGCGCGACAGAGGGGGCAGCTCCTCGCCGTAGACCCGCCCCCTCAGAACGCGGGAGTGGGATGGCGCGAAAGTGCCAAGTGCTGTCCTGGTGTGGCGCTCCGGAGTGCTGCCGAGTGAATATTTTATTTCTTTGCTGACGTTTGAGCAGGAGGTGACCAAGTTCAGACGCCGAAAGAAGGCGGCAAAGCGCGGGCGAAATCGAAGGCGGGACCTAGCTCGCGGCCGCTGCTCTACCGGGGACGCGCTGCACTGTTAGCGGCAAGGAGCGGGTGAGCGTCCCGGCCCGAGTACCCGGCGGCGGTGCTCGAACCCCTGACCACGCAGATGCAGGAGTTAGCCCGCAGTGCGGCCAGGGGCGCGGGACAGCATCCTGCTGCTGCTCGGGAGGCAGTGTCGTGTGACCCGGTCGCAGCCGGGAGATAAGCCCTAGCTTTCGAGTAAAGGCCCTTTTCTGAGCCGCCCGTGGGGTTGGCTGTAGGAGGGAGATGAGTGGAGGGCCGCGTTCTAATAAATTTGGCGCAAATGGCGTGGGAGATAGCTGTGTAGTCGCGGGTCCCCTTGCTCAATGATTCCGCTCTGCCGCCTGGAAACCCGGAGCAAGGGGCGGCCATTTGGGGCGCTTTACAGAGGCGGCTATAGGGGCCGAACACGGGGAGACCCACCGCGGGGTGGGCCGGCAGGGGCCGCTAGTGGGGCGAGGCGAGAACCGAGCTCAGTTTGGAACATTTCTAGTATTCCCTCAGCGGAGGCTGGCATTATACCGTTTATTGGGGGGGGTCAGGCACTTTGGAACACTGTGTGTTCCATTACTGCTTCTGATTCTCCAGCGAATCTATGAAGTATTTATTATTATTTTACAGATGAGGAAACTGATAATGGGGGCGTGTGTGTAAGAACTGGAGGCTGGATTTGATCCCAACTCTGTTGGATCCCGCACCCTTTGTCCTTAACTCTTATATGACACTGCTTCTGCCAAGGAGGCCTCTTGGCCGTATTTGCTGATATTTCACTTCTAAGTACTTTCCCCTATTCCATAAAGACTGAAGTGTGTTCGTTATTCTGGTATTAATTAAATGTCTAGGGCACTGAGACAGTCCCAGAAGCTCAGCTTTCTTTCATCCAAGTGAAAAAACAGTTACTTAAAAGAAGCAGCAAACTTAGCACACTTTTATGCCTCTGTTGGTTGAGTGTGAATGAGTGAATTTGAGTAGATGGATGGATGGATATTTTACCTATTAAATCTCCAATTTAACATGAATCAAATCATTAAGGGGGCACCTGGGTGGCTCAATGGGTTAAGCGTCTGCCTTCGGCTCGGGTTATGATCTGGGGGTCCTGGGATTGAGCCCCCCATCCAGCTCCTGGCTCAGCGGGGAGTCTGCTTCTCCCTTTCCCTCTGTCCCTCCTCCCCGCTCGCTCGCTTGTGTTCTCTTTCTGTCTCTCTCAAATAAATAAAATCTTTAAAAAAAATTGAGGATGAAGATTAAGACGCCAGTGGAGCATGGAAATAAGTATTTCTGTGGCAATTTAATATATCTATTCCTTAAGTATTTAACTTATTACGAATTGGTTTATTTATTTATTTATTTATTTATTTTTGGTGATGGCCTCAATTCTTCCTAGTTGCATAATACAATTTATATCCTCCCTTGTAACACAGCTATTTTTGTTTATGTTTTATGCTCCTTATAAAATATAACCAAATTATTTGAGCACAGGAAATCTTTACATTTGTCTGTGTAAGTCCCATGGTAGTAGTACCTAGTCCTAAAGTAATTATGTTTTCCAAACTTAAACTGGGTCACATGATTGATAACACAATAAAGTATCTGAAAGTGGAACTGAGATTTTCTGAAGTTGACTAATAAAATGCCTTACTACAAATGTTTGTTAAAGAAAGAACTTAAATCTTCTCTGTAATGCCTCTCTTTTAACAATGTGAACAGAATGTTTTTGGAATTAGCAAAGTCATCCTCTTCTGATTTTTGGACATTTAATGCCTCATTTGTTCCAACTACTGTTAACTTTTGAAGATTCAGAGATAAATAAGCACAGTCCCTGCTATCAAGAAGCTTCTGTTTTCAAAGTAGAGAGGGTGGAGAAAGTCATCTGCATCACTGTACACATGTGGTTTATTAGAGTGCTATGAATTAAGTGCTGTTGGTGTACAGGACAAATTTTGTCAGATTTGGGTTATCTTCAAAGATCAGATGGTATTTGTTCTGAGTTGAAGGTCCATTGGAGAACGGGAAAGCCAACCACGCTTAGGGAACAAACATCATGAACAAATGCCACAGTAGTTTCCAGACATGGTGTACTGGGGACCTCCTAATGTTGGGTATTTAATTTGTCCTGTGGTCCAAGAATAATGAAATGGACTAGGTCAACAGATGTATAAACTGAAACCAGGTCCAAACAAACCAATAGAAAAGTGGACAGAAGACAGTGGAGCAAAATGGCTAACAAGTACAGTAAGAAATATTCAGCTTGATTAGTCAGGGAACTGCAAACCAAGACCACAGTGAAATATGATTTTGCACTCACTAGATTGGTGAAAACTTAAAAGTGACAATAGCAATGCTGCACAAAATGTCTTCTGTTGCTAGTAAGAATACACATTCAACTATTTCTGAAACAAAAAGCTTGTCATTATCTTGTAAACTTAAAGATAGATTCACAGGTATGCTGACCCAGCAGTTCCACTCCTGGGTGTTTACCTAAGGGAGATTATTGCACGCATATATCAGGACACATGTTCACTAAAGTTTACCTTAGAACTGGTCAAAGTAGCTGGGCAGCTGGGCAGCTCAGATGGTTAAGCATCTGCCTTCAGCTCAGGTCATGATCTCCAGGTCCTGGGATCGAGCCCCACATTGGTCTTCCGGCTCAGCGGGTAGTCTGCTTCTCCCTCTCTCTCTGCCTCTCCCCTTCCCCGCTACGCATTCTCTGTCTTTCTCTCAAAATGAATAAATGAAGTCTTAAAAAAAAAAAAGAAAATAAGAACTGTCCCAAGTAACAAAAACAAAGAAGCCAAATGCATGTTGAGAAGAGAGTGGATGAATAAATGGTGAAAATAGAATTTGGCAATCAGAATGAGCTCAATAATGAGCTCAGGGTGGTCTACATCCAGTGTTTTGTTCTGCTGACACACATGGAAACTTGAGTCTTCATTTGGCAAATTTTTATTCTGAAATAATACATGGTTGATTATCATCTGTGGGAGTCCTGAGGAACTAATGGAGCATACTGCCCTCCAAGAAAAATTGGCATTTGCTTCACCTTTGGGCCGAATGCTTCTATGAATTTCTGACCCCTTTAGTCCCCTCTCGAGTATCTCAGCTTGATGGGTGGTTCTCGGATTCTACTTCACTTCCTTATAGGAGGCCCAAGACTTATTCTTTATAGTCCTAGATTTTATGCTTGCTTATCCCTCACTTTCAGTTGTAATTTCACTATTTTTTAATTTTTTTGCCCTTTGAAGATTTTCCTTATTTTCCTGTGACCACTGTAATGCAATATTTGTGCTAGAAATTTCATTCAGACTGTTTAGTTTGCCAAACTGCTCGCAGTGGGTTTAGCTAACTGTAACATTTGATTTTATATGTCTTCCCTCCCTAGTCTCTGAACTCCTTGAGAGTAGGAATCACTCAGGTCTGTATCCCTAGAACAGCTCTGATCCAGAATTTTGAATACACACAGGCACTTATTAATGTTTTGGGAAAATTGTCTATTTATGTATTTGATAATATGGTAACAAAATAAACTGAGTTGTTTTTCAAACATTTCTATTTTCTGAAAAGATTGTATACCATGACAGTTATCTGATCCTTGAATTTATTAGTAAACTATTTGCCTTGAAGTCCTGCCCTGGAAGGACTACATTTTCAGATTCTTTCTCCATTTTTATTTTTGTCTATTTAGACTCTCTACTTTTTCTTCAGTTAAATTTGGTAATTTATGTTTTCCTGTAAAGCTATATGTTTTATAAAAAATTAGAACAAACTTATACACATATCATATATTCTAATATTAAAAACCTTGTCTGTCTTTCTCATTTTGAATTTTGTGTTATCTTTCTTCTGGTTATATTTTTCAGAAGTCTGGCATATATTAGCTTCTTCAAAGAAAAAATTACTCAATTTTGAATTTTTGAATTTTTTTGTATTTTTTTATCCTGTAATTTCCTTGATACAATTTTTTTTACCATTTCTCCAAACCTATTATCCCCATTTCATATTAGATTTTTTATTTTCTAAATAAAGATATAACTTACGATTCTGGATTTATTTCTATTACAGTTTGGTTGCATCTCAAACTTTTGAAATGTTATAGTGTATTTTATTTTTTCCTAAGTGTTCCATAATTTTATTTTTATTTCATCTCAAATTAACCCAATTATAAAAGGGGTTAAAAATTTAGGTAGTTGGAATGTTTTCCTATTTTAGTTCTCGATATTAATTTCTATTTAGAAATTTGAGCTAGAGAGTGACCTCTGCTATTTCTTCTTTTTGGAAATTATCGAAGTTTTATTTGGGACCAATTTTTGAAAATACTTTATGGTTCTTAGACAAGGAG